CCTTAGCTTTCAAGTCATCTTCATCGCAATCATCCTCAAGATCTTCATAGTTTAGGTTGCGGAGAATCTCAGGGAGTGAGTAGCTTTTACCACTCTCATCAACAATCCTTCCTCCTCCCATTTCGATATCGATCTTCTCTTTCGAGCTAACTAGACTTTCGCCTAGATTTGAAGTTGGAGTTTCAACCATCATATAATCTTCTTCCTTCACAAATGATCTAAACTTGTTCATTGATGGAGGAATCTTAGAAAGAAATGTTTCCCATATGTTCCCCAAAACTCCCTTGTTGTATGGATTCTCCTTCTTATCGTATCGGTATCTGAAATTCTCATAAGTCGTCTGCACAAAACAGATTCACCGTTTAAAGAAACAGAGAAAGGAAAACAAAACCGAAAGATTGAAGTAAATGATAGATCTTTCTAATCACCTGGTTAGTGCAGATGAGATAGGAATGAAATATTGTGAGTCCACCGACAAACCAAACGGTAATGAAGCAGTAAACTATGAGAATATCGGATAGAACATCTTTGGATATAGCTTTCCAGATGCTAATCTTCTCATCTACATGTCTTTGAAATATGTTCAACCAAGAGAACACAAACACATATATGCAGAGAGTAGTTGATGTTGATATAAACATGAAGAAGAAACGGTAATTTCGCTGCAATAGAAATCAAACACAAATTTCAAAAACACGCAGAGCGTGTATAACTTTCGGGAATTTAGAGCAAAGTCATTAAGTAAACTTACAACTCCAATGCACTGGCCAACCCAAGGGCAGTGATGATCGAATCTTTGGACACAGTTGTTGCAAATGGAACAATGAGAAGCTCGAGGTGGACGATAAAGCAAACAAGTCTCACAGAATTTCACTTTGATGGTATGGCCATTAACAGTTACATCTTTGACCCTTGGTAATCTTATATTAGGTGTTTTACCGCTAACCCATTCCATCGATGGAGTAGTAGAATCCGGTGCATCATCTGATTCAGGAGGATTTAAACTTCTTGGCACAATCCCTGGATCTCTACCAGATGTCATTAAAAGGAAAAATACATCCTGAAGAAAACTACTGAAACTTTAGTTTCACACAATAAAAGTCAAAAATCAATTTCCATCTACCATATGAGTTTGAAAAGCAGAAGACATACGAAAATGGTGAGTATCCAAGACACGACGAGAATTGGAACACAGAGATGTGGATGCTTGGTACGAGGATCAGCCATTTTCAAGTACATTTTCACAAAGAACATCACTGCAGGACCAAGTATCAAGATGGTTGATAGATACAGAGATGATGCATCTGGACCAAAGATTAATCTCCCGCCACATAGAAATTTCTGACAAAAGCAAAAGTCAATATCAAAAATCCAAGGAGCATGAAAAAGCTTAGACATGGTTGGAGTAACCACCACTAACCATGTCCAGAGAACAAGAACTAAACAGAGAATGAATGATAAATCTAGAAAACGATCTAAACTTATGACTCAAAGGAATCTAATTGAAAGTGCATTTTCATGCCCAAAACTTATGTGATCAAGACAAGAAATTGGAAACGAAACCAAAAAAAAAAGGTGGAAATTTTAGAACTCACATTGCTTCCTCTCCAAACTTGATATAGTCTCTTGAGTTTGGTCTCATTCCAAGGCATAGCTAAAAGGGGTAAAACAAGAAGAACAAACCCAAAGTGAAGAAATTTCGAAGAACCCAGAATCAGAAACTCATCGGAGAATCCATAGACGAGGATGATGATGATCAGATCAAAGAAAATAAGGAAAAACCCAGATACGAACAAATCTCTTCTTTCCGACAATAAAAAGATTCCGACCAATTAGATTTGTAGTTCGAGAGGGAGAGAGACAGGAAAAATGAAGCTGTCTTCTCTCTCACTCGAATCACAAGAAAATATTTCGATGTTTTGTTTTGCAAATTGCGATCCCTTTTTCCCTTTTTCTCTTTTCACTTTCCTTTTTGATTAAAAAACAAAAAAACTTTTTTTTATTCGCTTCTCATTGTCGAATAATTTAGACATGATAATATGTAATTAGGATAAAGTAATTATGCGAATATGTAGGGATGTTTGTAAGTAAGGGAATAATTTTCTTGTTTAACTTAGATTTTATTATTTAAAATATTGTTTTATTTCATGGTCGGCCAACTATATCTAAATATATTAAATAAAATGAGCTGGGAAAGCAAGTCAAATCATCTCCAAAATTAAACGTGCTTCACACACAGATTTCTATCAATCGTTTGTGTTTTTTCTTCTTCTCTCTTGTTTTTATAATCCTTCTGCAAAATTAAAATATTGTGTACTTTGTAATAGTTGTTCTATGAATGCTTTCTAAGGACTCTTTAAGCATGTCTACATCTAAAACTTTTCAACATTCACAGCCAAAAATAAAATACATGTCAATTTGATTATAGAGAGAATCACATATAGTAAGATATTTATTCATCCTGATTAGAAAAACACTCTCCGTTACTCCTTTTTTTTCTTTCTTTTTTTGGCAATATGTTTTGGGTTTTTTTTTCTTGCAGTAACGGATTGACATTCATTTGAGTCAAAAGCCTGCCTTCTTATAAC